TGGGAGAGGGAGAAGCAGGTTCCGCAGGAGCCCAATGCAGGGCTCGATTCCAGGACCCTGGGATCATGACTTGAGCCGAAGGCAGACGCTTAATGACTGAGCTACCCAGGAGCCCCTGTTTATAAAACTTTTAGACTAAGAAGAATGAATATAAGTTTGGATTGGCTCAAACTTGTCAATATTGTTGTACTTAGAAGATTTACTTAGCAGTAATATTTTGAGTATACGGGAATGGTTTTAACAGTTCCCTTGGTAGGTAAATTGAAACCTTGACCCAAATATGGCCTACATTCAATGAGATTGAGATGCCAGAATCTTCTTGGCATACTATAGAGGAAGAAATCCAAAGGCTAATGTTGCTAAAGTTGACTTCTCTTATGTAGCCTGCCTATTATGAACCTTTACCATATCCTCCCAGAAGGCCCAGATGATACTTTCTTGAGAAATACATTAATGAGGGGGAGCATTAGCGTCTCTAAAAAGCTGTTTGGTAGCTGTCCTCTGTAGGCTGAAGATGATGATAGTAGACACTGCCATTGAAATTATGGGATTCCAGAGTGATAGAAGACAGTGTTTAACTGTCAGAGACAAGGTCTACTGGTCAAAGTCTGTGCTTATAGATATCATAGATAAATGGTATTTTGACTCAATGCCCAAGATCAAAGTCCATAATATAATGGGCTTATTTTGTCTAGGACTCACACTATGGCTATTTACCTACTTAATGTATAATTGGAATTACCACAATGAACAGCAAAGAACTAGAGTGGCTATCTGAAAATTTTGACCCACATGGATTTTCTGTGGTGATAATGGTTTCCTTAGAGGTTAAATACATAGGATGTCTACCAAATTATCACTAAAGTTATTTACAGAAAATCTCTAACTATGGGGCCAGAAACATGAGTTGAGACACCTCAGTGGAGAATCTTGGCTTCTTATCCAGTTTCCAGACAATTTACACGCCCAGAATTCTTTGATTTAGAACAGGAGGCTGGCTCTCTTGAGGAAGAATCCTCAAGATTGCCTCAAGCATATACAGTAGATCTTACTCCAAGTGTTCCTCAAAAGACCTATAGCCATTTACTAGGGTGGAAAACATTGGAAAGAGGGAAATATCCCAGACTTTCTGAGATTACCAGACACTGACTCCAAGTTAATACTAATCCCTAGAATCTCAAAATGCCCCAGTGGACCATTGGTTAAAATTAGAGTTTATGGCTAACAGGTGATAAATGCTATTTTGGTCTCCCAATTAATCTGTGTCTTTAGCTATGTTTATTTCTGGTTCCTGAATGTATAATTGGAATAGACATCTTCAGCAACTGGCAGGATCCTCACAAATTGGAGGCTGAAGGCTATCATGGTAGGAAGCACCAAATAGAAACTCCTGAACTTTCTCTTCTCTGTCTGCCAGAATTTACCATTTGGTAAATTTACCATTTACCAAACAAACAAACAAACAAACCCAAAACAATTCCACAGAAATTAGACATAAAAATATATGAATGATGTGAAGGATACAGAAGAAGTAACATTATCACATTCTTGTCTGATTCTCCTCTTTCGCCTATGCAGAAGATAGATCTTAAAGAATGTTTGTAGGTTACTATGACTCCATTTGCAGTTGTTCTTCACCATGTGGAATCTTTATTGAACCAAACTGACACAGCCCCTCACTCACAACTATTGGATTGTCAAATACTGTTTTCTCCAGAGCAGTTTACAAGGACAAACAGAAGTTTGACTTTACCTGTCAGCACTGTACTTTTATGCCTTACCATAGAAGTAAGACAGCCCTCTTTCTTTCTATTATAATCTAGTATGCAGACATCTCACAGAATGTCAGATCTACTACCTTGATGATTTCCATCATGGCGATTGGACCTGCTGAGCATGAAGAAACGTTAGATGCCTTGGTACACCCATATGTGTCAGAGGGTAAAAGATAAAAACCATGTAAAATCAGGGTTTACTACCTTGGTGAAAGTTTTAGCAGTCCAGTAGTCTGAAGCATGACAGGATATCTCAAATACGAGGCAAATGTGCCACCTGCCACAAAGAAAGAGGCACAATGCTTATTGGACCTTTTTACATTCTAGGAACAACCTTTACTCTCATGTGCTGCTCTTCTACATTTATTGAGCTATCAGCTGCGAGAGTAAGTCCCAGAGCAAGAAAAAGCTTTGTAGACTTTGTAGGCTGCAGCACAAAAACTCTTCTTTACCTTATACCTTATCACCTAGATGATCCTACAGTATCTGAAGTGTCTGGGGCAAATTGGAATGTTATGGCAAGTTGTCATAGAAGAATTACAGTATAGGTTGCTTGAGTTATGGAGCAAAATCATGCCCTCTACTAGTGTTTTTTTTCTCCTTTGAGAAACAGCTCCTGTGTGTGATTATACTGTGATAAAAACCATTTGCTTATTATCTGTATACTTTTATGAATGTATGTTATATTTTTTTAAAAGATTTCCTTTTTAAAAACTCTATGGAAATGAAGGTCCAAATATAGCAGAAACAGTTATAAAAAGAAGAACAAGTTGGGGGGGATTTCCCTGTGTTTTTTTTTAAATATTTTATTTATTTATTTAGACAGAGAGAGAAATCATGAGCAGAGAGAGAGGGAGAGAATCCACTGAGCATGGAGCTGGTCCTGGGGCTCGATCCCATGACCCTGAGATCATGACCTGAGCCGAAATCAGGAGTCAGGCGCTTAACCAACTGAGCCACCCAGGCGCCCTGATTTCCCTGATTTTTTAAAAATAAAGCTATATTAACAGAATATTGGGCCTGGCATCAGATTTATGAGTATGTGAGAACTTAGTGCATAGCATAGGTAGCAAATAATTCAGTGAGAAGAGACTAATCAATAAATGCTAAGTTAGGACAATTGGGAAGAAATTAAAATTAGGTTTGAGCCTCAATAATGAGCAAAAATAAGTCCTATCTAATCAAAGACCTGGATGTGGAAAACAAAATTATAAAAGTTTTAGAAGCACATATAGAGCATGACTTTTGACCTTGGTATAGGTAATATCTCTTAAAGAATACCTCAATAAGCACAAACCATACAAGAAATAATTGATACATTTGGCTACCTCAAAATTAAAAACATTGATATGGCTAAACTCACCAAAAGTTAAATTAAAAAATAAGAGATTTGGGGCGCCTGGGTGGCTCAGTTGGTTAAGCGTCTGTCTTCGGCTCAGGTCGTGATCCCAGGGTCCTGGGATCGAGCCCCGCATCAGGCTCCCTGCTCAGCGGGAGGCCTGCTTCTCGCTCTCCCACTCCGTCTGCTTGTGTTCCCTCTCTCGCTGTGTCTCTCTCTGTCAAATAAATAAATAAAATCTTTAAAAAAAGATAAGAGATTAAACTGGGAAAGTGTATTTACTATATAGATAACAGAATGATCATTATCAAAACTTTACAAATTAATAAGAAAGAGACAACTCTTCCCAACTGAAGAAAGGAAAAGGACATAAAAAACCCTTCCATAGATGAGGAAACACAAATACATAATAAACATATGAAAATATATTTAATCTCACTAATTATCAGGGAAATGCAAATTAAAATAACCAGATACCATTTTTAACCCATCAGATTGGGAAAAATCATGAACTCTAATAGTATCAAGTATTGGCATGAATATGGAGAAATGATATTCTCATTCAATAATAGTGAGAAGTAAATTGGTATAGGTATTTTGTGGAGCAATTTGGCAATAACTACTAAAGCTGAAAATACTCATAGTAGGGATGCCTGGGTGGCTCAGTCGGTTGGGCATCTGCCTTCGGCTCAGGTCATGATCCCAGGGTCCTGGGATCGAGCCCCACATTGGGCTCCTTGCTCAGCAGGGAGCCTGCTTCTCCCTCTGCATGATGCTCCCCCTGCTTGTGCTCTCTCTCTCTCTCTGATAAATAAATAAAATCTTAAATGATATGCTATATGCTGGCTAACTGAACATAATTTAAAAAATGCTCATAGTATACAATCCATTAATTAACACTTTTAATTATTACCCTAGGGAAATGTTTATACATGTATGCAAGGAATGTGTATAAGCATATCCACTGCAGCATTATTTTGGTATCTAAACACTGGAAATAATCTAAATACCCATCAATAAAGGGACTTTTAAAAAAAGTTACAGTGTTTTTGGGGCACCTGGGTGGCTCAGTTGGTTAAGCAGCCAACTCTTGATTTCCACTCAGGTCATGATCTCAGGGTCCTAGGACTAAGCTCCACACTGGGTGGAGAGTCTGCTTGAGGATTCTCTCTCCCTCTCCCTTTGCCCCTACCCCCTCAAATAAAAAAATAAATCTAAAAAAATGTTTTTTAAATTACTGTGTTTTCATATTATAGAATACCATACAGCAGCTAAAAGGAATAAAATATATTTCTTTACATATATGAATTGATCTCAATGTTGAGTAAATAAAAGCAATTTTAAGAAGTACATATGTACTATGATATCAATTATATGTTTTTAAAGTCATTAAACATATGCAAAATATTAACAATAATCATTTCTGGATGTTGGGAACACAAGCGTTAGTTTTATCATTTTCTCTATTTTTCTGTAGTTAAAATGTTTCTCAAAAATGATGCAAAAAAGAACAAGTAGGGAGTGGTTAAGTGTTTCAAGTGCCATATTCAGGTCTAATTAGATAAAAACTGAGCATTATACATTGGATTTAGCCAGTAACTATTATTAAGTCAGTAACTTAATTAAGCATCTATTAAGTGCAAGGTAAGTAACTATTAAGTCAGTAACTATTATTAAGCAGCTATTAAGTGCAAGGTATTTTGACTTGTCACAGCATGGGGAAGTAGAGTATAAGCCTAAAGGCAAGATACAGCTTTCATGATTTTGACTCTGTAGCTTTTATTTACATAATGATGGTAGTGGTGGTGACGATAAAAGCTTCAATAAACCATTTACATAAAAATCTCAAATCTCCTGTATCAACTAATTGCAAACTTTCTGCTTAGGTAGGGTTTTTGGATCGGCAGAGGACATTGGCCTTGCTGGAAACATTCTATGACCAAAGTTCAAAAACGCTTAGAAGTTTGCTGCGAAACCCAAGACAATGTAAGTGCCATTCAGAGGGAGTATGCTCAAACTAGAATGACGTAATATACTCCTATGGTAAAAGTCATTGTATTCCCATGGAATCCCTTCACATGATATCTCCCTTAGATCATGATAGCTGATCTAACTTCATTCCTCACAAAATTCACTCTTCATCACAACTAGATGTATTTTTCACTATAGTCCAATACTAAAAGTTGTCAAGTTAGAACTCAATGTTAAGTTCATTCAAATGAAGAGGTGCTTGAGTGGCAGTCTGAATGTTTTGGAAATTAAGTTGGTAATGGTAATTCCAGTTTTAATGTCCAACTTAGAATTCTAAAATTTCTAAGAAAAATGTTTCCTTCTCCCAAGCATTTTTACTTCTCCACTTTTACTGAAATTATACAGTAAGATATCTTTTTTATATTACTACCAAAACAAGGAGGATTATGAGGTTTTTTTTGAGAGGGAGAAAGGGGGGAGGGGCCAAGGGAGAAGGAGAGAGAGAATCTTAAGCCGACTCCACGCCCAGCACAGAGCCTGATGTGGCACTTGATCTCACAACCCTGAGATCATGAACTGAGTTGAAATCAAGAGCCGGATGTTTAACCAACTGAGCCACCCAGATGCTCCATTTTTATTTTTTAAACAGAAAGCCTTTGAATGGATGGGTTTTCCAAAGAATGTCGATAATTTAGTTCTGTGTGAAAATAGTGGGACACTTAAAAATCTATGGGTGATATGGAGTAGTCCTGGACACCAGAGTTGTTTTGTTATTATTGTTGTTTTACTGTTTGAGTGGGATTCCGGTGAATGCTATCCAATCTTTCCCTAGAATTCTGAACCAGGTGTTCACATAAGTTGTGGAGGAAAAGAATTGAGGAATGAAGAAGAAAGAAAGGGAGAGAATAAGGAAGGGGGAGAAAATGAATATTAGGAAAACATAGCCCAGTGAATGATAGAGATTTGCTTTTATTTTGATATTGTAGATATTTAAAAGGTATTTGAGGTGGAAGACATGTGTCCTCTTCCTCATCTCTATGCTATGCTTGTTGTTGGAGGACCATAAATAGAGGATAAATTCTATTGTCTTGGCAGTCTAAGCAACTCTCCAAGTAGAAAAGGAAGAATCATGCTATATCCAAAACCACACCTATTAGGAAGGGGTAATTTCTAACTTACAGTAGTGACCATCTTTTATGTTCCCTTGAATATCTTTTTTGCTTTTATTGTGTTGTAGGTAAAGGTAACTGTTATTTATTTAAAGCAATAGGCCTATGTTAAATTACTGTGATCAACACTGTATTGCATTAATTTACTAGCTCTGATTCTTCATTATAACATCAATTGTTTAGGGAAATATTTTTTTTTTTTCTGCATTAGGGCCATTCATTGAATTTGAAGAGATAGACTTGCCTGAGTTCTGGGGAGACATGGATAATCAGAAACATATTTATGAAGACTTTGACAAAGTGCTCTTAGAGATGAATGCATTACTTTCTGAAAAACATGCTAGCAAAACCCAAAGCAAGTTGTTAGAAACTCCAGAAGATCAACATAAACATGATGAACATAATGAATCAATACTGCCAGAAGAGCAGAGAGAGACGACTTCAGAACAAGAACCAAACAGAATTTCAACCGAAGAACAACAAGACAGAGAGTCAACTGGAGAAAAAGAACTATACAGAGAATCAGTAACAGAACAAGAAACCCACACAGGGTCAACTCCAGGACAAGGATCAAGTAGAGAGTTAATAGAACAAAGACCACATGGTGACTCAATCATAGAACAAGGGCCACCACAAAGAGTGTCATCTTCAGAACAAGGAGTCAACATAGAATCAACTGCAGAACAAGGACTCTACAGAGAATCAATATCAGCACAAGGACAACATAAAGGGTCAACAGCAGAACAAGGATCACACAGAGAGTCAGTAACAGGAGGAGCACACAAAGGGTCAGTTGCAAAACGAGGATCACACAGAAAGTCAGTAGCAGAACAAGGATCATACAGAGAGTCAGTAGCAGAACAAGGATCACACAAAGGGTCAGCTGCAGAACAAGAACCATCCAGAGAGATAATTCCAGAAAAACAACAGGATTCAACTTTACAATCAGAAAGAGGTAGTATCTTCAGAGAAAGTAAAATATCTAGGGAGGCTACTTCCTATGAGTACACTGAAATCTCCCCACGGGAAGAGAAGACTCAGGAGCAAATATATGAAGAGGAACTATCTGTGAGTCCTGAACTGCAAGAGGAAGTCCCGACGTCAAGAAGAAAAGATCATCTTTCAGGTAGTAACACATTTCGCCTATGACATCAGCTTCATGTTTGTGGAGTGATTGTTTAAGTCTTTTCAGAAAATACTCATTCTAATTAGGATCTTTTCTGGCATACCAGATCATTCAAACCTTAGATATTTTGCTACGCAACATGTGTCTAGGCCTTGAACAATCAATTAAATACAAACCAGAATGTTTCTATTGTCAATTTACCTCGAATTCCTTTTGCACGGGAAGCCCATTCATAAGGAAGCAATCTGGTAATATTATCTATATAGAAATATAGAAAATTTCACTGGACTCCTGAAAAGGCAGTAGAAGCCCTTTCGGAGTTTTGTTTTGTTTTTTAAGATTTTATTTATTTATTTGAGAGAGAGAGAAAGCGGGAAGAGACGCAGAGGAACAGGGACAAGTAGACTCTGTGCTGAGCACAGAGCCCAATGCGGGGCCCAATCCCAGGACCCTGAGATATGACCTGAGCCAAAAACAAGAGTCGGTCGATTAACCAACTGAGCCACCCAGGGGCCCTAGAAGCCTTTTCATTTTAAATGTGGTGGTGTCTAATATTAGAAGCCACTTTTTAAAATGTCTTTTATTTCAACTATAAACTGGATCTTGCATTTTTCAGTTATATAAGATGTGTGTTCTAGAAGAGTTTCTGAAAGTTATATTTAAGACAGAAAACACTCTGCATGTCAAATATTTATTCTGCAGAAGACTTTTCCTCTGAATTGCCTATGCCAATGTATGCCTTTTTGTTGAAAGATTCGAGCTTCTTAGAAAGCCAGTCTCAAAGTCAGACCTCAGTTAGGCATAAATATTTTTAAAGTTCTGCTCTTTAATTTTAAAGACCCACAGTCCCAAAGAAAATCCTTATTCAAAACTCCTAAGACATGAGTAACCTGTGTTCTAGATTCTACATTATCAGTCACTAAATTGAAATATCTCATTTTTTCAGCATTATGTTTGGTTGTCCATAAAATAGGGCTATTAATTTTTGGCTCTCCATACATAGTAGGGATGCAGCTAGGAAAATCGTGAAGTTACTATTCAATCAGTTGTTATTAGTAAGGACTTAATTTTGTTAGGTGTAACAGTGATCCAAAATGACAGTGTCTTAAAAAAAAACATAAACAAAACCAAAACAAAATAGCAATGTCTAAACAACATAGGAGTTTCTTTCCTTTTGATATAAAAGTTAAAACTTATATGACAGTTCAGTCCCATGAACTCAGCAGTGGCTCAAGTTCTATCTTGTGTCCCCTCTAACCACATAGTCCTGGATGACTCACTACCGTGTCCATATTCTAACCAAAAGGTAAGGAGAAAAAGAAGGGGTAGGCATTACATCACTTGCCCACACATCACATTGGTCAGAATTTAGGCATTTGGTGACATCTAACTGTGACAGAGGCTAGGAAATGTAGCCCTCAGATTGAGTGGCCAAATTTGGGTACAACAAATAGCTTTTGTCATAGAGCTGCTCTCAACAACTGAAGTTATTAAGTGATATCATTGTGGTTGAATGTGACACAACATAAATGGGAAATAACCTGATAGAACGTTTTTGTTGTTCTATATGCAAGGCATTTTTCTCATTCATTAACTTAGGAATATATCATAGAATATATAAAGTCCAATTTATAGGCATTTTCTTTTTTTTCTTTCAAGTTTTTATTTAAATTCCAGTTCATTATAGCCACTTTCTTTTGTTCCTTTTAGAAACGACAAAAAAGGAAAGTCAGAAAGATCCATCCTGTGAAAAGTCCCAAGAAATAGAAGGAAAGTCATGGTCAGGTGACTCATTTAATCCTCCTTTCATTTATAATCTAGAACAAAAACATTATGAAAGTGAAATTAAATTGTCTGTGTTATGGAATGTGTATTTTGTAGGCGAACTTTTGACTTGTAACTGGAAGATGAATTGTATCAAATGTGAAGATGAGGAACAAGCAAACTTACTCCTCAGTAACTCCAGGTTTACAGGTACATGTTAGCAACCAAACTAGGAAGACTAGATGGCAGTCCAATTGATGAATTTAATTTACTGTGGTACCCCATGATAAAAACTGAACTTAGCCAAGACATGATGGCAGGGTGATTCTTGCATTATTTTGTCCCTGAGCTGATGGATCTAAACATAGACAAGATGAATGTTTTTGGTGGTAGTGTACATGTAGGCATGTGCTACTGAGGGATGCTTTTCTGCTTTAAAACATATGCTTTACTATACAATTTGTTTTTACCATTACATGGCCCTACAACCGCTTTGAAGCTATGATCCAGGTATACAAAGGGAATCAGATATCAGATATTAGAACTCAATAGAAATCAATCCAGGCTAATGGGTATTAAGGAGGGCACGTTCTGCATGGAGCACTGGGTGTTATGCACAAACAATGAATCATGGAACACTACATCAAAAACTAATGATGTAATGTATGGTGATTAACATAACAATAAAAAAGTAAAAAAAAGAAAGAAAGAAATCAGTCCAGCGATTCCTCTCCCTGGTAGTTCCATAACTTAACATGTGAGACAGGTTTGAATCTGTCTTGTTTTTAAAGACTTATAAACTAAGATCGACTTAACAGAGAGAGCAAAGAGTAGCTTTTAGCTCTCAGATAAACCATGTATTTAACAATGATTGTTCCAACAAGTACTCATATTTTACTGCAGTGCTATTTTATCATTTTATCTTCCACCAACAAGTAGTAGAACTAATTATATTAAGATTATTTTCTTCCTCTCTGCAGATTTTTTTCTCATTTAAGCCTGGGTCAAATAACAAGCTTTCTATCCTCAAAATACTTTGGTAAAAATGCATGGCATCGGTCAAGCTCCTGTGGCCTGCTAGTTCGTGTTCTTCTTCTCCTGGTCTTACTTCTTTTTTTAAAATTTATTTTAAAAGATTTTATTTATTTATTTGACAGAGAGAGAGAACACAAGTAGGCAGAGCGGCAGGCAGAGAGAGAGGGAGAAGCAGGCTCCCCGCTGAGCAGGGAGCCCGATGCAGGGCTTGATCCTAGGACCCTGGGATCATGACCTGAGCCGAAGGCAGATGCTTAACCGACTGAGCCACCTGGTCTTACTTCTTTATTTCAGTTTTACTTTACCATTTAAAAAAACTGCATGGGTGATTATTTTTAGGTCATGTCAAATCTCATATGGAAGGCATGAGGGCGTGAATGATTGAATCGGTGAATAAATCAAACATAAGTCACTGGGCTGATATTTTATGAAATATACTTCATATTATAAGACTGGGCTCAAGATAAATATATTAGTCAAGACTCTTTGGGGGAGAGGTTGCTGTAGTATTTATAGATTTATTTAACTGTCAAATCCAAACCACAGCTGGCTTCAGGCACAAATGAATCCAAGGGCTCAATAACAGCAGTGAGACACTGTCTCTGCCTCTCAGCCCTGTTCCTCTCTGTGTAACTTTCAGTTTTAGGTCGTTTTCTCCATGTTGTGATAGAGATGTCCATAAGAGTATTGCTAAGCCTAGAGCCTATGTTCAGGAATCAGAATGCTAAAAGAGTGATTCTTCCCCATTAGTTCCCAAAAAGTTCTGGGGCTCATTCTCATTGGTATTTAGTGGATCACATTGCTGTCATATGGGAATCATTGGCCAGACCTATATCACATGGTCTTGTAGCAAAGGTGGGGGATGCTCAGTACCACCTGATTCATCTAAATCTATAAAGAACTTACCAAACTCAATACCCAAAAAACAAATAATCCAGTTAAGAAATGGGCAGAAGACATGAATAGACATTTTTCCAAAGAAGACATACAGATGGCCAACAGACACAGGAAAAGATGCTCAACCTCACTCCTCATCAGGGAAATACAAATCAAAACTACAATGAGATATCACCTCACACCTGTCAGAATGGCTACAATTAACAACACAGGAAACAACAGGTATTGGCGAGGATACAGAGAAAGGGGAACCATCTTACACTGTTGGTGGGAATGCAAACTGGTGCAGCCACTGTGGAGAACAGTATGGAGGTTCCTCAAAAAATTAAAAATAGAGCTACCCTACAACCCAGCAATTGCACTACTAGGTATTTACCCAAGGGATACAAAAATAATAATTCAAAGGGATACATGTACCCCGATGTTTATAGCAGCATTATCAACAATAGCCAAATTATGGAAAGAGCCCAACTGTCCGTTGATTGATGAATGGGTAAGGAAGATGTAGTGTAGGGGTGCCTGGGTGGCTTAGTAGGTTAAGTGTCCTGAGATGGAGCCCCGCATCTGGTTCTGCGCTCAGCGGGCAGTGTGCTTGTCTCTCTGCCTCTCCCTCTGCCCCTCCCCCCACTTGAGTTTTCTCTCTCTCTCAAATAAATAAAGATCTTTTTTAAAAAAAGAGAAGAAGATGTAATATATATTACATATAATATATAAAATATATATAATGGAATATTAGTCATTAAAAAAGAATGAAATCTTATCCTTTGCAGCGAAGTGAATGGAGCTAGAGTATATTACGCTAAGCGAAAAAGTGAAAGACAAATATCATATGATTTCATTCATATGTGGAGTTCAAGAAACAAACAAGCAAAGGAGAAAAAATAAGACAGAGAGAGAGAGAGAGAAACAGACTCTATAATTGTAGAGAACAAACTGATGGTTACCAGGGCAGAGATGGGGGGGTGGGGGGAATGGTTTAAACAGGTGATGGGGACTAAAGAGGGCACTTGTTGTGATGAGCACAGGGTGATGTATGGAAGTATTGAATCACTATATTGTACACCTGAAACTAATATCACACTATATGTTAACTAACTGGAATTTAAATAAAAACTTGAAACATAAAAAAATTAACATAAAAGAATAAGATGATAAATTAGATCTCATCAAATAAAACTTTTGTTTCTTAAAACATGTCATTAAAGAAGTGCATATATAAGCCACAGATATGGAAAAAATACTTAAAATATTTGCAAAATTTATATCTGACAAAGGACTGCTATCCAGGAAATATTAAGATCTTCAACAACTTGGGCGCCTGGGTGGCTTAGTTGGTTAAGCGACTGCCTTCGGCTCAGGTCATGATCCTGGAGTCCCGGAATCAAGTCCCGCATCAGGCTCCCTGCTCAGCAGGGAGTCTGCTTCTCCCTCTGGCCCTCCCCCCTCTCATGTGCTCTCTCCCTCTCTCATTCTCTCTCTCAAATAAATAAAAAAATCTTTAAAAAAAAAAAAGATCTTCAACAACTCGAAAATAAAAATAAAAACAACATAATATAAATTAGCAGAACATGTTACTAGATGCTTCACAAATCAAACACATAAGAATGAGTAATGAACACATGAAAAAGTGTGCAATGTCATTAGTCATCATGAAAAACAGACTAACATTACAATGAGAAACCACTACATATGACCCGAATGGCTAAAATGAAAAAGACTGACAACACTGACTCTTGGCAAGATTGTGGAGAAACTGGAACTCTTCAGGATTGTTGGTGGGAGTTTAAAATGTTACAGTTACTTCAGAAAATATCTGTGTGTTGTAAAACCAAACACATATTTACCCATGATCCAGATATTCCAATCCCAGTTATTTATCCAATAGAGTTAAAAGCATGTTTACAACAACAACAGCAAAACATATATAAGAATATGTAAACCAGGTATATTTATAATAGCCTGAACTTTCTGGAAACATTCCAGGTATCTATCAGTAAGAGAATAAATAAAAATTGTGACATATTTATAAATCAAATATTACTCAGCCATAAAAATGAACTATTGGTACATGTGAAATGAAAATAAAAATATAAGCTGACAGTGGGGAAGAGATGTTTTCTTCATGAAGGGAGCGTGGGTTTCTGACAGGAAAAAAAGTAGCAGATGTTTATTACAATATGTACTTGTATATTTTCTCTAAGCTTTAAGAAATTGTTCACTTTACTGTTTGTTGTATGTTTCCTGCTTAATAGACCTACACTCAGTTATCAGAAATATTCAGTCTTACAAGGAAGTAAAAGGTAGAAGTGCTTTCAATGGAGTTTCCTTAAATCTGCTCCAGTTTGTGCAACTTCTGGAAACATTTATTGGTGAAGATGCCCCCTTGTGTGTCAGTGAGACCCTCACATCCTTTTTTAAGCGGGGCTATGTTGAAACAAAAGAAGAGAAAATAAGTGGCTTAGAACAGGTGAGTAATATTATTTATCAATAAAACAGGTGGAGTCACTATTATTAATAAATCTCTCAACCTCAGTTGCTCCTAATGTGGCCCTTTAAAAATTTATAACCAAGGTGCCCCTGGTGGCTCAGTTGGTTGAGCATCTGACTCTTGATCTCAACTCAGGTCTTGATCTCAGGGTCATGAGTTCAAGCCCTGCATTGGGCTCCACAAGGAGCGTGAAGTCTACTTAAAAAAGAAATAGGGCGCCTGGGTGGCTCAGTCGTTAGGCGTCTGCCTTTGGCTCAGGTCATGATCCCAGGGTCCTGGAATCGAGTCCCCCATCGGGCTCCTTGCTTAGTGGGGAGTCTGGTTCTCCCTCTCCCTCTGCCCCTGCTTGTGTCCCCTCTCTTGCTGTGTCCCTCTCTGTCAAATAAATAAAATCTTAAAAAAAAAAGAAAGTTCCTTAAAAAAAGGTTTATAACCAAACTTATCGCTTTATTTCAATGAGCAGAGCCATTAAGTATTTTATTTTATTGTCAAATGTTCTGAGATCACACTCCAGAGAATTCATTCCCCTAATAACAACATGATTGCTGGTGGCAGGAGATGGTTTATCGTACAGCTTTCTTTTTCCTCCTCTGAAGCTTGAAGAGCAGATTCTGAAGAGTAGAAATGTGTATGTTCAAAAAATGTGTGTGTATGCACACTATCTGCTGTGTGAATGCATTTACTAATGCACATACCTAGGGGTACAATTATGATTTGTATATGTATTTTTATTCATGTGAATCCAGGTGATCCATGTTTCCTAAGAAGTCAGTACCTACTTGATGATAGATAAATGCATACACCTTAGCTGATATAAACAATTTATGTGCCCTTTTATGAAATATATACATTACATTCACTGGACATATTCACTAATCTCAGCAGCCTTATGAGTCTTCTCAACCTAATTCTAGAATTGATATCCCTTTTGCCTCCTCAATTGCAATTTCCCCATTTAACCAAATGCTATATATTCACTTTCTTTTAGCAATTAAATCTATCTAGATAATAATTTAGTTACTATCTGACTGATATAATTAATCTAGTAAAAAATCTAAACGGTAAATAAAATCAATGTCAAGTTAGGTCAATGTTAAGTTATAAAAAATAATTTTTGAACACGGTCATTTTTTCATTGTTTGAACACTGCCCTTCATCCTCTTTCAATACACAGCATATCTCACCAAGAAGCCAGGTAGAGTATGCCATGTGTTTATCATATTCCTAAACAACCAGCGAGGGAGTGGAAAGGAATGAATCAAAGACTCTTAAGGAGTGTAGCCCCTTTCCTAAGTTAACGTGCTTTAGTCCAATGCAGAGAATGCCTGTTTTTTGTTGTTTTGTTTTTTGTTTTTGGTCTACGAGTGAAACAGAGAAATGGTATTTAGATGATTAAAATTAAATGCTTCATGTCTGCCTTCAGTTAAGGTCATGATTTCAGGGTCCTGGGATCGAGCCCTGCATCGGGCTCCCTGTTGGGCAGGGAATCTGCTTCTTCCTCTCCCTCTGCCCCTCCCCCCCGCTCCTGCTCTCTCTTGCGCATGCTCATGTTCTCTCTCTCTCAAATAAATGAAATCTTTTTAAAAAATTAAATACTTCATTTTCCCATTAATATCATGCTTAGTCCCAGCTTTTTTATAAAGCTGTTTTTAGAAATAGTGCTGTGCTTTTTGGGGAAAAACATAGGTTGGCAGCTAGCACAATGGATAGTACGTCCTGTGCTTTGTTATCCTGTTTCTATCCTAGGCTAGACAAAATGCTTCCAGAGCCCGACGGGAACTTCTCCTAGAAGCCGTGTTTCACAAGTGGGACAGTGATGGCTCAGGCTTCCTGGATCTGAAGGAAGTTGATGAACTCTTGTACACATACAAGGAGGGAATGGAAAAAGAATCTATGAAGAAAGGTAAAAAGATAAGAATTTTCTTATTAAAGCTGTGGTAACAACTTGGCTTCACATTTTCCAGTACTATGACATATATAGTTAAAACTCTGGTTCTGAAACCACAGGACACCACTTCATACCTATTAGTATGGCTATAATTTTTTTCAGCTTTATTGAGATATAATTAACATAGAACATCATGTAAGTTTAAGGTGTACAGTGTGTTGATTTGATATATTTATATACTGCAAAATGATTACCACAGTAGCATTAGTTAAACACTTTTACCACTTCACATAATTACCATTTCTTTTTTGTAGTGAGAACATTTAAGATCTACTCTCTTAGCAACTTTTACGTATATAATACAGTATTGTTAACTATAATCACCATGCTGTACATTAGATCCACAGAACTTATTCATCTTATAATAGAAGTTTATGCCCTTGGGGGCACCTGGGTGGCTCAGTTAAGCATCCAACTCTTAGTTTCTGCTCAAGTCATGATCTCAGAGTCATAGGAATGAGTCCTGGGTTGGGCTTTGTGCTCAACGTGGAGTCTGCTTGAGATTCTCTCCCTCTCCCTTTGCTTCTCCCCCTGCTTGCACGTGCTCTCTCTCTCTCTCTCTAAAAATTAAAAACCTTAAAAAAAAAGATGTTTATACACTTTGACCAACATTCCCCCAAATCTCCCCCACCTCCAACCCCTAAGAACCACCATTTTATACTCTGAGTTTGGCTTTTTTAGATTTGACATATAAATGGTATCATACAGTATTTGTCTTTCTCTGTCTGATTTCACTCAGCATAATGGTTTCAAGATCCATCCACGGCAGCATTCCATCTTTTTCATGACTGAATACTATTCCTCTGTGTGTGTGTGTGTGTGTGTGTGTGTGTGTGTGTGTGTGTGTGTGTGAGAATCACATTTTATTTATCCATTCATTCATTGATGGACACTTGGGTTTTTTTTCATATCTTGACTACTGTGAATAATTCTGCAATGAACACAGTGGTACAGATATCTCTTCAAGATAGTGATTTCATTTCTTTCCATTAGATACTCAGGAGTGGAATTGCTAGATAATATGGTAATTCTATTTTTAATGTTTTGAGGAATCTCCATACTGTTTTTCCTAGTGGTTATACCAATTTACATTCCCACCAGCAGTGCACAAGAGTTCCCTTTTCTCCACATCCTTGTCAACACTTGTTATCTCTTGTCTTTTTGGCACTAGCCATTCTGACAGGTGTGAGATGGTATCTCATTGTCGTTTTGATTTGCATTTCTCTAATTGTAAGTGATGTTGAGCATCTTTTCATGCACCTTTTGGTCATTTGCATGTCTTTGGAAATATGTCTATTCAGTTTTTTTGCCCATTTTTTAGTGTCTTGTTTTGTTTTTTGCTGTTTAGTTGTATGAATTCCTTATAAATTTTGGATATTAACCCCTTGTCAGATATATGATTTGCAAGTATTTTCTCCTATTCCATAGGTTTCCTTTTCATTTTGTTGTTTGCCTCTTTTGTTGTGCAGAAACCTTTTAGTTTCAGGTATTCCCCCTTAAATTTACTTTTGCTTTTGTTGCTTATGTTGTATGGCTATAATTTTTTTTTATTATGTTATGTTAATCACCATACATTACATCATTAGTTTTTGATGTAGTGTTCCATGATTCATTGTTTGCGTATATCACCCAGTGCTCCATTCAATACGTGCCCTCTTTAATACCCATCACCAGGCTAACCCATCCCCCCACCCCCCTCCCCTCTAGAACCCTCTGTTTGTTTCTCAGAG